CCTCAAATGACAGAATTCTGACCCATTTAAAAACCGACTGTGACAAGGAAACCTGTCACAAAGTATTGGAAGCGGGAAAGAATTATCGTGGCCAGGTCACTTCGCCGGGCCTTTGCTGCAACACACAAATCAATCCAACGGAAACGCAAACTCGTTTTTTCGGTGGCGAGAGCCAAAAATTCCAGCCGATCTCTTGCTCAGTGTTCCCACCGATTGCCAAAATTCTAGAGAACACCCGAAGCACATCAAAGCTTCGATCTGGCAAGAAAGTGAAGAGAGCATGTCAAAAAGGCTCGTTCTCGTCCGCAGGTTGAACATATCAACTGGATGGTGACAATAACAAACATATGACTTTCACACCCACCCGAGATTCAGTTGGACGGAAGACGAGAACAACGTCTGATAAATCTGGAAACACAATTGCAGCTGGTGGAAAGACAGCAGGAAGCAGCTTGGCAAGTCCAAAACACAACCTGTCGTTGACTAAAGCCTAGAGGCGGTTGCCGGTGGCAGTTGCAGAACTACTTTGACATGAAGCTGAAAAATAATAAATTTGCACATAAACAAATCAGGATTCAGTTTTTTCAGCTGAGCTCTTTCACTTTTATCAGCGAAAGGCAACGAAATCGGACTTTAATCAGTCTTGAGCATTGTAGAGAAGAAGCACAAAGATCGACTTTGCACATCGGAAGTGAGCTTTCTCGTTTTAGAAGTAAGTCTCAACTCAAATCGGAATTCATTCGGAATGTTAAAACAGGAACAGTGGGCGGAAGGATTGAATCTTGCATCAGAAAGTTGGATCAGTGGGATCAGAACCATTTGGCAATGCATCGCATTGGCACAAGGATCCCGCCGACAACCAGTTTGCTTGGCGACGTGCCGGCAAACAAATGCACTCACGTGCAAATCTTTCGAAATCTCAGACTCTCGGCTGCTGTAAAAAGAAGGTGTGCGCTTCTTGCCATGCAGTTTCTTTGCAAATATTTCGGAAGAATATTTCTGGATTTTTTTTCTAGATGTGCTTTGATTTTGCAAATGACCGGTCGATAAAAACCTAATAAAGAAGTGCGATGGTGTCGGTGTGCCTCTGGCAGGTTTTGCGATGCGGCGCCCGAAAGTATGTTCCGGTTCTGAAGAGGTTTGCGGTTTCGAGGAATGGCACACGATTTCCCAAGGGACGGTGTTCGAATCCAGTTTGAAGTTGCATTAGATTTCAAAACACCATTTCCCGATGCTAGAGCGGTTGTTGTCAAGACTTCAGATACGATTCTCCATATTGCGAGAATGTGAAGTTGAGAAGACAACCGATGTGGTCTGCCTTGGATTCGATTCTGATAAAGGGCCGCTAGGCAATTCTCCCTTTTTCTCTGCAGGCAATGCGAAGAAACGAATTGTCTGCCGGCCAAATTGCCAAATGTGAAATTGTGACAATGTGCACTGGCAGCCTTAGCAATCTTCTGCATCCAGGTTTGTGGGCTCGAACTGGAGTTGAAAAAGTGAGAAGAAAATGGCTTCAACGCACAGGCTCTCACACGTGCATCTCGGATCGCTTTAATCTCTAATTGGAAATGAATTTACCTTTTTCTTTCAACTGTTTCAATTTATTCTTCTTCCAACATATCATTTGGGAAAATTTCCAACTGCAAAGAAGGCGGTACAATGATTTCAATTGGCGTTCGCCAGAATTTCGAGGCGTTGGGTGGTTGGCAATGCATGCTGCTGGCTCAGGTTTTTCTCTAGTCGGCTTGTTACCGCCTTAGGCTGTTTGTCGTTGCAACAATTGTGTTTCGGTTTTGCTTCGATTGCATTTTTCCAATGATGATGCTTCTTGAAAGATGGCACAAAGCGGAGAGATAAGAAAGGTTGCAAGGTGTTTGAAAGTTAAGACCTGACTTAGGCCCGCAGAAATTTTATTAAAACACACACACACACACACACACAGCAACATCGGGAAGTGCCCAGCCGTTGTCGCAGTTTGCTTATTTGAGGCAGAGAATGCCGGGTGTAACATACCGCCGAAGGCCTGTTCTAGTTTTGTCGGCCACTATGTTTTGAGGCAGATCGACTCCACCAACATTTGTCGAGTTCATTCGGTTCCTGAGCAGGCATGCTCATTAAAACATCACACTTCTTGCGTCTCGTGTGTCAGCTGAGGGGGCTGAGTTAGCATGTCTGTCAGAGTGAAGGCGACATGTGGAAAATGCATATGCAACACTTTCCATGCATCTGCAGATGTTACGATGGGAAGCTTGAGCTTAAACCCAGCTTTGTTGCTTGAAGAGCTACAGGGGTCTGGAAGGTGGAATGCCCCATTTTTTGGCCAATCGCACCCTGTTAATGGAAGGGTTTCTTTGGAGAAACGCCGATGATGCTCATGATGCTCGTCCTGGGGTGGGGGGGACTTCAATGATGCTCATGATGCTCGTCCTGAGAGGGGGACGGTGGCTGTGATAGACGACTGCCGCTTTGTTTGGAACGCCGGTGTTTGTTGCGTGCAAGTGGAAAAGGTTTCAATGTGAGCTGCAATTGGAGATGGCATCATTGGTATCTGCTTGCTCAGGTGCAGTTGTTCTTGGTAGTGGCAAACATTCACTTGGCGCTTTTTTGGTTGACTGTATAGATTCTAATTTTTTTGGAGCCTGATTGTTGCCTGTATTATATATTACGATCTAACCGTCATAGAGTAGGATAGGATGTTTTAAGGCGGGGTCCCAACATCGAACCCTCGGATATCCTGCGCCTTGCAGCCATCAGCAACAACGGCAGCAGGCCTTTCGAGCTGAATCGCAATCTCGGAAAGACCGCCCTCAAGCTTCCAACAGTTGCAAATCCACAGCCTCCGCCTTGGCCGTTCAGCAGCGAGCTTTCGCCCCCCCCCTTGGGGCACAAGCAAAACCTAGGCCCCATGACATGTTTATGGTACTTAGGAAAGCTGTCAGTGTGTATCCTTTCCAGATGCAACTAGAAGATGTTGAGCCAAACTGTGCCAACCGAGCCGTAACGATATGAGTACGCAGCACATCGCAAACAAGCTCACATGGTAGTGTGGCCAAAATGGGAAGTTTACGAGGCTGCGCCTTGTTCCAGCTGTTCCAGATATTGCAAGATCTGCCTGGCAGGAATGCCTGGCCAAAGACAGGATCATGTCTGCAAACGGCGATTTTCAAGACTTCAAGAAGCAGGCCATGAGCGGAGCTCACTGTCCTTTCGCCGCATGTGCGATCGTAGTGACCTTATCCCGAGGTTTTGAAGGCTTCTGTTCAAGAGATCGACGAGCAGGCCACATCTGTGTGTCATGATGCGCACTGCGTTCAGAACCATGGCCGAACAACGGAAAGGCCGAACATGCCACGGTGATGTGGAACTTTTTGATCGCTTTTGCAGCGAAGAAGCATTTTTATCGAAATTTGATCATCCAGGTGGGGGTTGCCGACCTACGCAGACAAGTTATTGCCGGTGCATCTTCATGTCTTCAGGTTTTCAACAAGCTGATGCAAGTTCCCAGCTGGGTGGCAGCGTGGGAGGTCGATGTGAAACTGCATGAAAAAGTGCAAACTCTACACGAGGCTCATCTCCTTGTGGATTCGGTGTCCTAACGATGACAGAGTGGTTTCGCGTGGCAGGACTTGCAGTCTGCCATCGGCGCGCAACATGAGGCTTGTTCGAGAAGCGCACTGGGCCCTCTGCTTGCTCGTGAAATTGACCAGCTTGCCAGGTTTTACGGAAATCCATCGCTCCCGCAGCTTCGAAGTCTGTGACCCTCGTGCGCATGGATGAGCGACCGGAAGAGGTTCATGCACCGTGCATGTGAGCAAGCATGAGCTGAAGCTGGCTGCATGGAGGTTCGTTTGGCGATCGAAAGAGAGAAGATCATCGATGCAATTAAGGACAGTGTCATTGCATGGGTAGGCCTCGTTGCTCGGAGCCTCTGCATGTAGCTGAAACTTCAGAGCAGTCCAGAAGCAAGCTTTGATCAAGAGCCTGCATCTTGGCTTGGATTCGAACTTGAATCTCAGGAGGAAGTTGAGTCAGAGGAGTGGGCGCCCGTCGCGACCTCGTCCAAGGGCACAGAGGGCATCAGCGTTTCGATTCCCACTCACAGGAAGAAGAGATCGAAGCAGAAGTGTCTGCAGAAACGTCGACTCATCCGGCTTTGTCTGCGCTCCAGGTGAGTCCGTTCATTAGTTGTTCTGTAGTTTCAGTTACATAATGAGCTCGACCTGATAGCATGCAAGATGTTTTCAATGTGTATTGTTGCTTTCAAGCCGTTTTGCCTCGGCGACCGAACCCTGGACAAGTCATCATGCAACATCGTATGTGAGAAGTATACATGTCTACCGTCGGTTACGACCGTGCAGCGGCACTTCGAGAAGAAGTCCGAGCTTCTGAGTAGGTGGTGCGGTAAAGCAATATCCGGCAGTGTTTCTTAACCCGTCGATCTGCTCGGCCACTTGCGAGCAGTCTTGTGCTTGTGTTGCAGTTGAGCAGTTGCGCCCCGGTATTTTGCATGGTCTACTGCTGGCCCTGTCTTGTGGTAAGCGGTAATCTGGAGCCTTGTTGTACCGTCACGGCAATGCAAGAGGGCGGGCGAAATTTGGCTGAGTCGACCTACATCATAGAACTGCGGTTCACTGCATTGAAAGCACGAGCTTGTCATCAATGGGCGAGGCGTGCTCACCAACTGTTGTGATAGCTTTCTCCATTCGGAGTGTCGATGTCTCGCGGTTCGTAGCACAGTCGATGGGGGCTACATCACGGGCAGTGTTCATGATGCAGACAGTTGTCGATGCATGCCAGGATGGAATCGATGCTGCTATTGCGATAGACGATCCTTCGAAAATGGATTCCTGTGGACTCAGTGCTTTGAACAAACTTCGAATCGGTGCCCGGGCTGCATGATGACGGTGCGGCCGCATGTAGTCAGAGACATTTATGCTGCACGAGTGCAGGCTGCATCAGTTGCGCCGGAGATGATCATCTTTTCTCGCAGGAGCTCGACAATGCTCCCAAAGTGTCCCAGCTGCTCATGTTCTTCGTTCTGTTGGTGTTGAACGGTGTGCGCTGCTGAGGTGTTCAACTTCCTCTTGAGCCTGCTAAAGCAGCACAAAGAGTTCTTAAATGGAGTTGCAGAGGTTTTCCTGCCGAAGAGTGGCTGTTTTTCGTCGTTATCCTGAAGATGCGCTGATGTTCAGGTCATCAACCTGCTTATGGCAAGCACGTGGTGCTCCGCGTTTGAGAAGAGCCAGCTGCTCCAGGCCCCAGGCCCACGACAGATGCTCATGTTAGGCAGAGAAGCACGCGCTCTCCCAAGGAACGTCTCCGAGAGCTCCCAAAGCCACTGCAAGCTGCTCTTGGACTGCAGAGTTCCAAGGCGCCTCATGACGAAGCATGCGAATTGTCAGTTGTCAGGCTCCCGGCCACTCACTGTGCACAGGTCCTGGCCCATATCGATGCAGATGCGCGGAGGATTGCTGTGCGACTGCATCTGAGAGAGGACTAGTTTCAAAGTGCTATCCACCGCGTCTTCACTCCAGGCAAGCATGACGAATATGTTCCGCATGCAGCTTCTCCATAAGACAGTCCGGTTTCAGAGACTTGAGACTCTCTTTTCACAACATAGTGTCATGATCTCGTCTCGACGTCGGGGTTCAGAAGATGACGTCTGATCCGGACTGCACGAATATCAGACTCTTCGGCGGTGCGGCAACGGTTCCCATTGTCTTTCCTGTGCCGATGTACCAAGCAGCGCATGCAGCACAGCTTGAACTTCATGAAGCCGCACAGTGCCACATGGTTCTCCGCAAGCAGGTATGCTTTGTGCGAATCATAGGGGCGGCTCGGTGTGCAGTAAGAGCCCCACAGTGGCCACACGTGTAGGTACGACTCTGCAACGTACAGGCTATCGAGTTGCTGGTTTATGGCGTACCCTGGAGCAGGGTGATCTCACGGGCGTGCAAGTGTTCGTTCGCCAGGAACAGATCATGTCAAAAACGATGACATGCCAGCACACGGTCGTTTCTGCACTGTATGTTCAAGTTTCATCAGAGTTATTAGGACTTGGGCATGAGTGAATGTCCGATGTGTGCAGCGACAAATCTAGAGAAAGACAGAGAGAGAGAGAGAGAGAGAGGGTTTCCCTCCGTAGCCATTTTGGCTCAAGTCTCTCACCCTTGTGGAAACCCCGGCTGTCAACCGGGGGGACCTGGTGGGGGGCTTGAGGCCACCTGCCGCCACATTCGGCTCACAGAGGCCCCTCAGGGATTTCCGCTTGTGAAAAGCACTGCCTTTCAGGAGCCGATGGACATGCACGTTCTGCGGGCACTTAGGCCCAGGGAGCGGGAGGGTCAGGGTTTTCACCACCGCGGAGCGGTGCATGGGAGCTTGAGCGCTGGCGACAGAAAGGACAGGCGTCCGAGCTGGGACACAGGGTGTCTTCTTCATTTCATTGCAGGGCAATCATTTGGTCTTTCTTCAGTTGCAGGGCAACAGCTGTTGGTGTTACAATTCTTCGAGGCTTTGGGAAAGCCCCTCTTCGACCAGTGGGAATTCTTTATCGAATTCACACTGGTAGCGGAGCTTTTGGTGCTTCGCTATCAGGGATAGTCGCAAAAGCGGATCAGATCCAGGAGGTTTTCCTTGGAAAAGCTGGGCTGACTTGAGAGATGCCGCCTTCTTCATCCACTCCACAGGCGGACGTTCCTCCAGGATTTGGACTGGAGCCGACGAGCTCCGTCCAGCTTCCCTGGCAGGCCATTCCACGTTTCATTCCAGGAACCACTGATGTGACGGAGTACAGCGGAAAGCTGAAGTTTTTGGCGGCCATGTGGCCGAAGGAGCATTTGGCTCTTTTGGCACCTCGGGCAGCTCTCCTTACGGAGGGCACGGCTTTCAAGAAAGTTGCGAAGATCGATGCAGAGAAACTCAAGAGTTCCGATGACTCTGGAATCCGACTTTTGGTGTCCACCCTGGGAGGGTCCTGGGGCAAGACAGCTTTGGAAGAGAAGTATGATTGTTTTGAAAAGGCCATTTATGGGACCTTGCAGAAGAGTGATGAGTCAAACGACAGCTACTTGGCTCGGCACGACGTCCACTTCGAGGAGCTCATCGCCCAGGGTACGTCCCTGGAGGAGGTTCGAGCCTACATCCTGCTTCGTCAGTCACAATTATCCTCGGATGATCGGAAGAAGATTGTGGTTGAGATGGGCGGGACTTTGAAGTACGATAAGGTGTGCAGCGCCATTCGGCTTCTGGGATCGAGGTTTTTCGCGGACCTTCAAGGCCAAAGGACTGCGCGAACCAAGGTGTACGATGCCAATTTGGTGGAAGACCAAGTTGGTGATGAGGCCGAGAGGGCTTATCAAGCCAGCACACCCGGGTTCCCCGAGGAGCCCGATGGGGAGCTCGACCAGGAGTTCCTTGACGCGCTCGTGGCGGCCGATGACCCGGACGCCACCCAAGTACAGGTCTTCGAAGATGAGCTTGAAACCTTTTTCCAAGATGTGCCAGAACTGCAGGAAGCCTTCGTTTCTTATCTTGAGGCGAGGAACAGACTGCAAGCCAAAAAGAGGTCCCGTGGCTTCTGGCCCGTTGGAGGCTCGCAGAAGGGTTTCAAGGGTGGCAAGCATGGCAAGGGCGGCAACAAGGGCAAGGCCAAGGGAGCCAAGGAGCAGCTCCTTGCCAGGATTGCCAAAAGCCATTGCAGGCTGTGCGGGGAAAAGGGACATTGGAAGGCCGAATGTCCCCGCAGATCCAGCACAGGTCCCAAGCCCGAGGCTACCACGACCATGGCCGAGGCATTTGAGGACATATCCATCACCGAGGCCACGACATCGCCGGCCCCAGAAATCCTGTCGTCGCTCCCCGAGGAAGCGCTTTCCTTGGAAGAGGCTCATTTTGCAGAAGAACCCAATAAGTCTAGGAGCCTAGGAGACATCATTAGGAATCGGCTTACCCTAATTCCTAGGCACCTCAAGCGCCGCCTGGAGCCCCAAGCCCTTTCCCACAGGCCCATCTGCAGTGGGGAAGCAGCCTTGACTGAGATGCCCTCCGGGCTTGAGCTCTCGAGCGCTAGATGCCAAGGCCCTGGCCACCAAAGATCAAGCCCCTGGCCCATTCCAAGCTTCAAGAGTAGGCCTATCGAGAGTGCATTTGTTCAGGAAACCAATGTTGAAGCAATCCTTGATACCGGGGCTAGCAGGTGTGTCATGGGCAAGCAGCTTTTGGGTGCCTTTTTGAGCCAGTTGAGCAAGCCGATTCGAGACCTTGTAAGGGTGACTAAAAGCGCTGTTAAGTTCAGGTTCGGTAACAACCAGACTTTGGAGAGTGAAAAGAGAATCTTGTTACCAATCAAAGCAGGCTTGTCTCACGTTTTGTGGCTGAGCATCGAGATCGTGCCAGGACGGACACCTCTGCTGTTTAGTAAAAGGGCTATTAAGCAGTTAGGAGGGGTCTTAGATACGGTTCAAGATGTCATTCACTTGCAACGGCTGAGCGTGAGCCATCACCTGCGCACGGGCCCAAGCGGACTCTACATGGTAGACCTGGCCAAGTTGTGTGAGGAGAGCAGTCGAAGCGCGTCATGTCAACATGTCAGCGAAGATCATGCTTCATCTGTACCGACACAACCTCCCGAGATGCATGCCCCAGGATCCGAGGTTGACCAAGGTACCGCCGGTAAGTGTATAGATGCTAGCGGTTCCCCGAATCCCTTTGGAAATAATTCAAGTAGCGGTGACGAGCAGAAGCAAGTTACCATCGATAATGATCCAAAACAGGAAACCACTGTGAATCCTGTGTCGTCCAGCTGCCCCGCTGTCGCTGGTGAGCAAACTTTCACAGCAGCCGAATCGCTATCAAGCAACTCTACGCCAGACGTTGACCCCCTTTCCCGATCTTCTAGAGCTCCCAAGCATCATGGCCCAGAGCTCCTGCCCCGCCGGTTCCAAGTCCCTGGACCTTGGAACGCGCTTGGCGCGACTTCAGGACCCCACTCTGTCGTACACCATCCCTCAGCTGGAGGCCATGACTGTGAGCGAGCTCGGAGCCTTTCAGATGGATTTCGGACGGAAGTTCGTTGGCAAAACCTTTGCCGAAGCCCTAGCCGCGTCCCCGGAGTGGGGAAAATGGTGCTGCGATCATCTCAAGGATTCTCCAAAGCAAAAGCATCAGGCTCTGCTCATCTACATCTGCAAGTTTGTGGAGGAGGCAGAGCAGATCGAATCCGATCTGCAGATCGCCAGCCCTCGCAATCCTCCGGGATCACATCGCGCGAGCACTCCGGCCCTAAAGGCCAAGGCCAAGGCAAAGAGCATCCCACCCCGCGAGGACGAGCCCTGGGATGTGATCGAGACCGAAGGTTCCGCCGTGGAAGATCAGGTGAATGCCCTCGCTGGCCATGTGGATCAACAGGTGAGCACACTCGCCGGTCGCATGGATCACATGGAACAGATCATGCAGCAAGTGCTTGGGGCCATTCAGGAGCTTCATGTGTCCCAGAAGCACTCCTAGGAGAAGTGCGCGAGTGTCGAAGGGAGCTCGCGAAAGCTCTTCAGACATCCCAGGCCTCTGTAGGCCAGACCTCACCCTTCAATCCAAAGGACCTCAAAACGCACCAATGAGCTCTCTGAAGAGCTTCCTTCGCGCCGTTCCGTGGCATCTCCTTACCAAAGCCCCGACTGCATCTGCTGAGGCAGCGACTGATCTTACCACCCAATCTGCTACTAAAGAGCCGGCCTATCTGATGTTTGGGTCCTTTCGGCACGGAGGCGTTCTAGGTGTGACTAGGGTGGCCAAGTCGTTCCCGGGGTTGACTAAGGTTCTCACGAGAACTCTGAGATTAACAGATCCTGCCCATTCCTTCACTACGGTTGGGGTCTCCTGTAATACCGAAGCACCGCCTCATAGAGATGTGTTTAATGTTGCGGGATCCTTGAATTTGATTGTTCCCTTGAGTTATCCGACTGAAGGTGGTGAGATTTGGTCTGCCAAGCCTGCGCGTGCCCGGCAAAGAGAGCATGTGATGGAGTGTGCAAGCAAGCCTATTGCAGGAGCTGTGCAATCCTTGAAGTGCCCATTACATCTTGATCCGCACACCTGGCATGCTACGATGCCGTGGCAGGGAAATCGTGTTCTTTTGATCGGTTTCTCGGTGAGAACAGCTGGCAAGCTGTCCGCTGCTGACGCTGAGTGGATGCAGCGGCATGGGTTTCCTAGTGCACCTTCCTTTGATACAGCCCAGATCGCCTTGGCCGAGCCCTCCACAGCGACCCCCCTTCGGGTTGAGTTAGAAACCGCCACAGAATTGCTGCAGCCCTCAAGTGTCCAGAACAGCATGCAAGCTGTTGCCAATGCGTGTGCAGATGCATATGCACGTGCCGAAGAAGCTGCCTGGGCTGTGTACCAAGATTCCCAATTGAGCTACGGGGTGCCCCAGGGAGAGCAATTGGATCTCTTAGAGGTTTATGTGA